CATCACAGCTCACAGCAACCTCCAACTCCTGGGCTCAAGCGAGTCTCCTGCCTCCGCCTCCCAAGTAGCTAGGACCACAGGCGCCTGCCACAATGCCTGGCTATTTTTTTGGTTGCACCCTTCATTATTGTTTGGCAGGCCCAGGCTGGATTCGAACCTGCCACCTTGAGTGTACATGGCCACAATGCCTGGCTATTTTTTTGGTTGCAGCCATCATTGTTGTTTGGTGGGCTTGGGCTGGATTCGAACCTGCCACCTTGAGTGTACATGGCCACAATGCCTGGCTATTTTTTTGGTTGCTGCCATCATCATTGTTTGGCGGGCCCGGGCTGGATTCAAACCCCGCCACCTTAGGTGTATGTGGCTGGCGCCTTAGCCGCTTGGCGCTAAGGTGTATGTGGCTTGGCGCCGAGCCTAGAATTCTTGAATCTTGCCTTAAAAAAATACCAACTGGTTTAACTTTGTTTTTCCTCTTAGCTTCTGAACTTAAAGATCGATTTGTTTGCTTTTATAATTTTCAGGTTTATTTTAAAATAAAGAGGTAAGAGAAAACGTTCCAGGTTTCTGTTTGCAAGCTGCTCTCTGCAAGAAACACATTGCGGATGTAGATCATTTTTATTCTAAATAAATAGAAAAGGGAAAATGAATATAAATTATCACAATATTTTCACTTTTTAAAATGCTTCTTGAAGTTACAGAAACACCTTGATATGTTCTGGGAAAATTCTGATTCCATGAAGGCAATGCATGAATCTGGGACTAACTCCGTAACATGTGGGGCTGAGCTGCTAGATGAAGATGTACAGTCCTATGTTCCAAAGGCAGGAAAAACATTTTCTCCTTGCTCCCACAGTCTCCCTCTTGAGCTATCATACTGTGTTTTATGTGCTGCTTAACACCATACTCCCTTGGCACAGGGATACCCCCAGGCCAGTGCAGCCTCTCATGGGCACCCAGGGCCTTATCCAATGCCTTGACTCAGGACTCACACTAGACCCTGGTCCCTCCTATACTGTGCCAGGGATAGCACATAAATACTGAACAGGACATTATTCTCTGAGTACACAGAGGGCAGAAGAAAGCTGAATGTCACTGGGCATCAAGAATGTAGCAAGTCCTTAGAGAGATGTTCTTCCCTGCAGTATCCTGGGTTCTAAGGCACTATTTGAAGTAGTAATCACCCATCCAGAGAATAGCAGAAATGTGCGTGGGTGGAGTTCAGAGGTGTGAGGGATGGAGCTGCATGGGTGGCAGTGGCCATGGGGCAGTATGGGGAGGAGGAGCCCAGGCATCAGGAGGCAGCAGTGTGTGTGGCTCAATGCTCCAAGTCCCTGCCGTGTGCTCTGTTGTCCCAGAGCTGTTCCCTTGTGAAGCATAATTCACAGGCAAAACAAGATGGTACCATGGAGCACATTAAACACCAAGCACAGGGCCCATGCAATTGTCTTGGTGGTACACCCATAAAGCCAGTGCTATGTTAATCTGGGAAAGGTCATAGAAGGGTGAAACTGCAGAACTGTTATTATTTTTATGCTTCTCATTTACCTCTTGAATTTCAACGTTCCCTTTCCTTATGCTTGCTGCCTTTAACCCACAGTCCTTCAGAGCTGCACACTAAATGCAGGACAATCAGATAAAGGCAAGAGAGTGTAAAGCAAACTAAAGCAACATGGCCATTTGTGAGACACGTTCATAGGACCAAGGAAGGAACCTCATAAAAACTGCAGTCATTTGGGAGGGTGAGGACTTCAGGACCTGGGAGCAGGTGTTTGACCTCTCAAGGTTTCAGTGGTGGCCAATTCTACAGAGAGGAATAAGATAGAAGCAGTTGGAGCTGGCGTTCATTTGCTAGTGAGAGACACCTAGCAATGACCATCACTTCCCAGCTATGCAACCACAGGACTTTCGTAGGTGCTGAGCTGTCTGAACAGCCCTTTACCGGGCAGAACAAACTGTCCCTCCTAACTGAGGATGTAGCATTTACCTGCACAGCATGGACTCTCATGGCACTCCTCACGAAGACTCCTTACCTCGTTGGCTGTGTTGTGTGTCCCAACGATCCGGATGAAGGAGGCAGGCTGTCTTTCAAAAGTTACTGACTGCCAGGACCTGTGAGAGGAGATAATCAGCTGCTGGTTAGACAGTGGGGACACCCTGCTGGCCTGCGGATGAGGCAGGAGTCAGGGCCTCCTGTCCTTGGGAGCCCCCTGTGGCAGGAGGAGAGGGGGCAGGTCTGTACCTGCTGTGTGGTGGCGGGGGGGTAAACCTATGGCGTCCCCATTTGGGACCCAACAATTTTTTTTTTAAGGATTCAAAATGTGATTATTTGTACAAATTGGAGTGCCTACATCCTACTGAACAACATAGCCTTTACCACTTTTACCCAATTACAGGATTAAGACATTTATGCTCTACACCTGATAGATCCAACTTGTCCTATGGCTCAAAAGGGACCCTACAATCTTGTCAAAGATGGCACTCCTAGCTGGCTGTGAATGTGACTTGGAGTTCTTAGAAAGTCCTCTGTAAACAAGCACAAAACAAAGACCACAAAATTCACATCATGACAAGAGTATAGACAAATATAGACATAATAATGGTTGGCAAGAGTTTGTAAAGTACACTCCTCATGTATAAAATGGGGCCACAATGGGGCCTACCTCAAAGGGCTGCTGGGAGAACGGCCACAGTGCCCCATTAGCCGTGCAAACAAGAGGGAGGCTTCTGGGAGGATGAGGGTTTTGAAGAGGGCAGTGATGTGAGCTGGGTGGGGCAGGTCATGGGGCGGCAGCAGAGTCCCAGCACTTGGGCTTGGTGGACTGGGGTCACGCCCTACCACCTAACTGCTCCCTTCCACGAGAGTGGTGACACCTGGAGGAGGAGACAAGTTTTCCACAAGCTGCTACTCCCCTTTCCTGATTCCAAACAAACACAATCCTCCAAACCATCTATTCTCAGGACTGGCCTGTCTCTGGGTGGCTTCAGAAGCATCCCCAATCTTCCAAGGGCACTTCCTCACTGACCAGCACGGGCAGGGCCAGCCCACTTAAAACCCACAGAGCGGGCCTCGAGCAAACCCGGGAGAAGGAGCTCTGCTCTGGGTTTAACACTCAGCAGCTCATCAGGATGCGCCCGAGGAGCGCACAGCACCCACAACTATAAACTCCAATAATATTTTCTATAATAAATGTGAGGAGTTCACAGTTGTTGCCATCCCTCCTCCGCACTCGCGGTAGAAATGCCAGCTGCTGGGAAGCTGTTTCCTGTAATTGTCTAATTACCAAGTAACGCTAGCAAAGAAAATATATGTCTTTGCAGTTTGTTTTTCCCCCTTTGGTTTCAGGTGTTCCATCTTCTCTCTCACTATGAACCTCCCACTGAGATTGATTCACTGCTGCCTGGACACCAGTCCCCTTAAGGTCATTAAAAAGTCGTTACCATCTTGTGTGCAAAGTTTGTGCCTCTGAAAGCAATTTTCTAGAAACAGAATAAGAAAAATGACCCTCTTTATAAAAATACTATTATTCATACATGAAAATGATGCCATCTGACCATGGCCCATTTTCTTGATGGGGCACTGCTGTCCTCCTAGACCCTCACTTCTCTTGGGTTAGTCTGCGGGACAAGATGTGGCCTGAGGGCCAGGGAAAGCCCTCAAGGCCCTGTGTGGTGTCCACAGTCCTCACTTCCAAACTGAGCAGTGGCGTTGACCACACACCTGCATCCTCCCTCCAGCAGGTCACCAGCCAAGGTTTGCTCTGTGTGCAACATCAGAGTCCTATCCCTGTCCCTAGAGGATGCCATTACACGCACTCTGGACCACTGCCTGCCCCTCAGACCAAGTCTCTAGGAAAGGAAAACAGAACAATGACAATAGCCAGCGACATTAATTAGGTTCAGTCACAGTATAACAAGGATAGGGGTGGGGAGGGGCAGCAGAGGCAGTGAATATGTTCTTCCCGGCTTTCTATCCCCATGCCTGTCAGATCTTCAAGCAATTCTGGACCTCAAGGTAAAATCCCGTGTAGTTGGAAGTTCTCTGTCCTCAGCACGTGTGTGGCTCTGGAAGTGGAGGCAGGTCCAGAATTCCGGCCTGGAGTCCCACCTGCGCCTCCCTCCACAGCGCACAGGACACTTGCTGAGTCCAGCTTTCTTCTCTCCCTGCTGTTCCTCTACATCTCCTCCACTCCCCTCTCCCTCCACGGGTCTCCCGCGGCCCCACCCTCTGCCAGGAGCAGGGCTGGCAGGGCAGCAGCTGGGCAGGAGGGCACATCTGAGGAGTAATAAGATCAGAAGGTCTCAATTTAATACCAGTCCTCCATTAGATTGCATTAATATCTAATCACATTAGAGGTCATTTTCACTAAGAGAGGCTGAGAGTTGAATATATGATATCATTTTCAGCAGAACTAGATACCAATCCTAAGATCAAAATATCAGTAGGAAGGGAAGTTGGTTGGTTAGGATGAGGTCACAGGCGTCTCTCCTCCCCAACTATCAGATTCCATTTCTCCTGAACTTCTTCACAATAATTTGAAATGCTGCTTGACAGGGAAATGGTAAGATGGCAGGGGAAAGGTCATTGCCACAACTGTACACATTTGCAGTTACTGTGTGACTTCCAGGGACAGCACCTCAGCCCAGAGCTCCCAGGACCGGAAAACTGTCACCATTGTTTCACTGACATGAAAGCTCCACTGCCATATTTATTGAGCTTTATTGATAGCTGCATAAATATTATAACTCGCTGAATACCTAGAATCTCTTCTTTATTAGGCAAAACTTTCAAGAAAGACAGTGGGGCACCAGAGGCCTGGCGGCTCACTCAGTTCAGAGCCAGGGGCAAGCATGGGGAAGAAGGTGAACAGGTGAATGTCAAAAAATAAATGTGGGCTTTGCTTTGAGAGCTTAATAAAAACCAGAGAAACCTACACAGGATGAAGGCCCAACCCTGCACTGGCTTTGACTGGACAAATCACTACTCTTCCATGGGCTGTAGTTTGCTATTTGTTCAGTACTGACAGAAAATAACATCACTTCCCTTGGTTGCAGAAATGCATCTAGAATGAGGTCCCAGTTACGTCTGCTTGTAAATATTTCTCTATACACATATGTATTCAAAGAGAAGTACCTGTAAGAATGTTTGGCAAAATGTTGATCGAGATTGTAGCTTTGGATGGAAGAATTTGAAGAATCATTTAGTTTACTTTTGTACTCTTCTGTACTGTTGGAAGTTGGTAGAATGTATTACTATAAGCATTTTTTAAAAGTACCTGTCTTGCAGGGCAGCGCCTGTGTCTCAGTGAGTAGGGTGCCGGCTCCATATACCAAGGGTGGTGTGTTCGAACCCAGCCCCAGCCAAACTGCAAGAAAAACTAGCCAGGCACTGTGGCGGGTGCCTGTAGTCCTAGCTACTTGGGAGGCTGAGGCAGGAGAATCACCTAAGCCCAGGAGTTGGAGGTTGCTGTGAGCTATGACGCGACAGCACTCTACTGAGAGCAATAAAGTGAGACTCTGTCTCTTAAAAAAAAAAAAAGTACCTGTCTTGCTTACTACCCAAAGATTTGATGCAGATCACATGAGATGAAGCCAGTGAAAATGCCAGCACTGTATTATTATGCATGCACAGTATCTCAGGTTGAGAAGGTCGCTGGGTGACAGTCCAGACAGCAGGTTTTACTCCTAGTCTTCCATGAACTGGGCCAGTACAGCACAGTAGTTGAGAGCACCGGCCCTGGAGCCAGGCTGCCTGGGTTTAATTGCCAGCTTTGTACTTTTCCAGCTCTGTGACCAAAGGTAAGTTGCTTAAGCCTACTGGACCTCAGTATCCTCATCTATAAAATGGGAATAATACAAGTAACTATCTAAAATTACTTTGTGACAATTAAGGACATTAAAAAATGTAAAACATCCAGTAAGGTAATAGCTTATGCAAAGTACTAAAAAAATAGTTGATATTTTCATTAGTATTACAATTACCAAATGAACCTGGACAGAGACATGCTCAGTGGGTGGGCCTCAGGGGAGAGTCATCAAGTTTGACAGCATATGACAGTGATGACCACAGAGGTTTCCAATGCAACAGTCATCAGCACCCACTTCTTGGAGGAACGCAGCTGAGGCTTTGGAAGAATTAACAAGTATTTGTTGACTACATTCTTGAACTTGGCACCTGCTGGGTGTTATAGGGGAGCCATGCAAGATGTAGTGCCCATCCTTAAGAAGTTTATAATCTCACCAGGGAGATTAGCTGTCTTTCTACAAACTAATTAGAGAACAATGCAAACAGTATAGTGGTCCCAACTTACAAACCAGTGGTGTTCAAATCTTTCCTTGTAATTGTTTTTTGATGCTTAGAAGCAATTTTTTCACAGAAACACAGCTATAAATCTGGACAGGGTTCTAAGGCCTACTCACAAAACTCAATTTAACCTGCAATGAGGCTGAAATACTATGGATATGATGTTTAAAAAGGAAGAAAAAAATGATGTTGTTGCCATAGTAGTAATTAAGCCAGAAAAACAAGGGATTTACAATGATCTTTTTAAAGCTGGTGCTTGAGGAATGAGGATTTAACACTGTAATGCATATAAAATCGTGGGGATGCGGCTGGAATGTGATAAGTGGTCTGTGCCTAAGCAAAGTGCATAAACGGGCCAAGTGTGTCATCCTGAAAGCCTCTCCCACCCACAGACCACCATGTACCTTACAAAGTATCTCACTTTCATGATCCATCTCACCTGTTCATGACACCACTTGTTGGGTGGGTGGGTGGCCAATTTGAGTCCCATTTCAGACAAGAGGAAACTGAGGCCGAGAGAAGATAAGTGACCTGTGCGACGTACCAGGGCTGTCAGGTGAGGCGTCAACAACAGGAGCCAGACTTAATGACTGGTAGCTTGTGCTCTCTGCAGAGTGGGCACGATGAAGAACTTCCAGGTAATTGAGAGGCTGAGGCACTATTCACTATCCCCTGGGTTCCAGAGTATTACTGACACCTCACTTATGTGTCATGACTCCTGGGCTGAAAACCTCAGTGGCCAGAAACACAGGGATCATACATAGTGGATCACTAGCTGACCTCAGGCAGGCACAGTCTCCTGTCCCTGTTTGTTACGTATAAAGGGGGTGGAATCTAACCATCGGGGGTTGTGAGGATTCCATGAGAAAGCACAAGGGGCTTGGAACATGCTAAAGGCACAGTACCTGCTAGCTGTTACTATCATGTCTGTGCACTGACATATGGCCGAGTAAAGAGGAGAGGTGCTCTCTCCACAAAAAGGTCAACACAGGGAGAGCGGTCTAAAACACAGAAGGCCATACCTAAGTTACAGAATAATACACACGGTGCCAGATTATACACAAAACTGTACGCGCTACTCATGGAAACATAGATGCCTGTACAGAATAATACACACGGTGCCGGATTACACACAAAACTGTACGCGCTACTCATGGAAACAGAGATGCCCGTACAGAATAATACACACGGTGC